TAAGGAACCAGCAGATCAAGTAGCTTTTGGAATAAAACACCAATTTTTTTAAAATTAAACACTATCTAAAGATTTGCATCGAAGCGTTTATTTTTGATAGTGATTTTAATCACTGTCAGATATCATTATACTTGATCCAACTATACCACGTCACAACTGTGCCGCGACCCCCCTGTGCTGGGTTTATTTATTATGATAATTTTCATATTTAATTACTAAATTTTTACTTATTTTTAAAGTTTTTCTATCAAATTTATTTCATTATAATAAAATAATTTACAGTTACAGTCAGCGGCATAGAAAAATAAATAGTTCAAAAAACTGAAAAACATGTTCATAAAGTATATCGAACTAAAAAACTAAAAATAATTTTTAATTCAATATGCTTTAAAAGCGTGTTTTTCAGTTTTTTTTAAACTATATTTATTTTTTAGTTTTTTATGACTGTTACAGTCACGGAGTGTTTATTGTCAATTATCACTATCAATAGATATAATTTCTGTATTGCCAGTTATCATGGGCGCCCGCAGGAAATTTATCAAGGGGGGGCCAAAAAAAATTAAATACCAAAAAGTAACATTAAATAAAGTGTTAATTAACTGAAAATTGCAAAATATATATACACGGTGGCCCACCACTCACTGACAACTTAAATAACTTTTGATCCAGTTAATATTTTTAGTTGATTTTTTTTTTTTAATAATAGTTATACGTTAGGTCTATAGCTATATCTGAATAATTATTTATTTACATTTTATTAAAAATATTAATTATTTTTAAATTTTAAATAAAATGTAAAAAAAAAATCTAAGATAGCTATTTTGTAGAGTAGAATTTAAGAAAAATTTTAGTAAAAAAATATCTTATTAATATTCAGTAGTAAATATTCTGTAGCGTTTTGAAGTTTGTGAAAATTTGAATTTTCATGTACTATTTTACGGTATTAAACATTGAAATACGTATTGAGAAAAGGACAGAAGAAAACGCTATCTTTTCAATATACTTTTGAATGAGAGTGATAAGTAATAATTGCCTTATCTAATTTCTTATCATGGTATTAATGCCAAGTTTGTAATGTATACACATTATCATCATATGTATACACAGTAATCTTGAAAAGATAGCGTTTTCTTCTGTCCTTTTCTCAATACGTATTTCAATGTTTAATACCGTAAAATAATACATGAAAATTCAAATTTTCACAAACTTCAAAACGCTACAGAATATTTACTACTGAATATTAATAAGATATTTTTTTACTAAAATTTTTCTTAAATTCTACTCTACAAAATAGCTATCTTAGATTTTTTTTTTACATTTTATTTAAAATTTAAAAATAATTAATATTTTTAATAAAATGTAAAAAAATTAATTATTGAGATATAGCTATAGACCTAACGTATAACTATTATTAAAAAAAAAAATCAACTAAAAATATTAACTGGATCAAAAGTTATTTAAGTTGTCAGTGAGTGGTGGGCCACCTTGTATATTCATGAGTCATTACTAAATAAAAATTTTCAGATTATACAAATTTAAATCAGATTGGTTATAATTTTTAAAAATGTATTTCCTAAGTCCAGGAGGGGGCAAACGCCCCCTCCCCCCGCGGGCGACCATGCTAGTTAGTGTGTTTATAAACTCACAACAATGTGTCTTATTACCATTGATAATAAAGGCTATATGCTTGCTAATATCGTCACAAAAAATCAATTAGCTACCTGTGCTTGTAATCCCTTATGTATTATGCATGTATATTAACTCAGAAAAATTTAAATCTTCAAATGTTTATATCTAATAATAAACAATAAAAATTTGCTTATATATATACATAATATTGATGATACGCACGCGTGTACAGGTACGAAGCCAAAAATAAAATTATACAGGAATAGTTTTTTCGACGTGGGGTGAATGCGTTACAGCAGTCTAGTTTCAAGGCCATAGACGACGGGATACGCGAGAATAATAACACGTGCCGCGAGGAGAGTTACAAACAAACATACATACATACAGGTGAAACTAATATTAGCGTGTTAACAAAAATTAGTAAATATTATGATTGTTGTCGTCACCGCACGGGTATATCGAATTATCGATGTGACCAAAACCGGTTTTCCAAGTCGCCGCCGACGGTCCCACGTGTGCAACCCGACTTTACTAGGTGCGCCATAAAACGACATAAATAATTGAAAAAATATAAGAAAACATGTCTTGGTGGATCACAGATTCAAAGTTAAGACAGTTAAAAAACGTCCAATTTTAAAGGCAATAACTTTTTTTTTTTAATATTTATGCCGTTTTATGGCGCACCTAGTGAAGTTCTAATTAAAGATTAACTACAAATTTACACAAATGATTTGTTCATATCATTTTATTATTTAATGTTTTGTTAACTCAAAATTTGTATTAAATTGTTAAATTTAATAAAACTTCTTTAACTTTCTCAAAATACCACACCAAGCGTTTCACAATACGAAATTCATAATTATCAATTATAATTGTCAAACTAATTAGGCAACCTATTTATTAAAAAATTGCCTTAAGAAAAATACAACCAAAGTGATTTCCAAAATATCCCTATTTATCGAAATTGAATAATACTTAACTTTAGGGAACATTTTAATAATATATGAATTTATAGATTAATAATAATGGACGTATATTTAGAGATTTTTAATATACATAATAGATAACATACGTGTACAAATAATAAAATGGTAGAATATGTTAATATTATAAGACTTACAATATTAACATATAAGTGATAACAATATTACATGGATAATATAATAAGATATTATTTTAATATTAAAGGAACACAACTCGATATAAATTTTGTTCACTATTCATTGATAATGAAGTATAAAAAATATATATTTATTCTTTTTATTTAAACAATTATAGCATAAAAAATATGTTATAACTGTTTAAATTTAATAATACCATATTTTATATTATAAAATAGAGAATTACGCAAAATTTTTGTTTTTATTTTAGGTATATAATACATCATAATTTGAATTTAACTAAATATTTTAAAAAAATTGACAAAGTTCATCATTAAGTAAAAATATTTTTATTTTTTAATATGTTATATAAAATAATTAATTTAATTTTAATTTTTGTGTATACATTTTTATTGGAAAATGTTTTTGCTGCAATTCTTCTCATTAGTCCAGTAATTCATATTTTTATGCCTATATATATATATATATATATATATTTTAATAATAATTTAATCTAATATTTTAATTAATTTTTTTTTAATCCATTTGATTGGATTTATATCTTGTTGTATGGCACATTTCTATAAAAGTAATATGATAAGAAAACAGAAACTGTCTTTCTAATCTATACATGTCTGTTATTTTATTTTAAACTTTTCGTGCATTTTTAAGTATGAATGGTATATTTTTATGATAGTTTTTAAGTATTTTTTTTTATTTCAGAAAAAAATAACAATTGATAATGATTGTAGTACAAAATCTGGACAACTTTATGTACGTTCCAATTTTTTTAAATTCAGTTTTATCATTTTCATTTGATTAGTGAAAATTTATTTAAGTTTTTTTTTTAATTAAACTTGTATTTAATGTTTACATTAAGTTTTATATTACAGCGTACTGATGCTAAGTTAATTAAGGTATCAAATTGTTTTAAAGGAACAAAAGTAAGTCAATATTTTACACTACTAATTAATTTTGTTTCTAACTTATAATAATTAATGGTTTTATAACAAATTTTATTATTCATTTTAGGTTTATGTAGAATGTGGTATTTTAAAAGTGGTAAGAAATAATAATTTATAAAAAAAAAGTACAATGTATAACAAACAAATGTAGTGTAAATGGCCTATATTTCACATCTAATAAGACCACGAATTAATTTTTTAACTTTACAGAGTGATTCATTTATCATAAACCTCCTAACTAATCAAAAAATAATATTGAGCATTTTTTTTTTTTTAGGATTATTTTATGTACATATTTTTTTTAATAAATCAATAAAATATTTATTTTGTTCATTCCTTATGTCATATAACAGTAGTTACTTTATTTTAGATTTGATGCAAAGCTCAGAATGAACTGATTTTAATGATTCATACGTCAAAACAACACGATTTTAATTTAGTTGAACCTATTAGTCCCTTAAAATTTAAAATATATACCAATATTATGCAAAAATGGTATTTTAAAAACTTATACAACATTTTAAACTTTTAAAAACATCTATTTAAATGGAATTTTTATTCTAGTAGTTTTCTAGAAATAAAATTTCATTTGATATACTTTTTTTGAAAATGAAATAAGAAACCTAGGTACTAGAAGGATTTTAAAGAGATGATCAACGCATGTAATTTTTTTCAAGTTAATTTTTGAAAATGTTCTCAAAAGTTTGACAACTTTTAACCTATATCATAGTAACGATTTTGATGTGCATTATAATACTAAAAAAAATTTGCCTGGACGATCGATCTACTATAAGAAATTTTATGAAAAAAGTTTACAATTTTTACAAAAATATTGTTGATTTTATCTAAGAAAATATAACAGCCATTTTCTTATCTGTAATTTTTATATGAATTCTATATAGATTTTTGGTATTGATTCCAAATTCCGAATTTGGCTTCAGATTTCATTGATGCGAATCTATTTAATTTCATAATAATTTTGAATATACATTTTTAGTACTTACAGCTAATAAAAGTTGTAAACAGTTAAGTATGTCATTTTCAAAAAATAATTAAGAAAAAAATTATATTTTATTTATTTAAGGTATATATACATATATATGTATGAGTGTCAGTCTTTCCGGAACAATTTCAAAAGTTAAGTTGAAAAAGTTAATTTTTATGAAAAGTTGCCATATTGAAACCCTCTTTATGGGCAGGTAAAGGGCCAAATGTTCACAAAAATATATTAAATGATAGTGAAATACCTAAGGTATCTATAAAAAAAAATTATATTGATTTCTTCATTCTTAAAAAAGTTATGGCAGTTTTAAGAAAAAAATTCCACAATAAAGTAATTGAAAACAGGAAATTTCTGAGCGACACAATATGGGCAATGTCACATCTAATTTTCTTTAAATTTCAAGAAACCCCCCCAAATTTAATTTCTGTGTACGCCACTGGGTTAAATATTCACAGAAATATACCAAATGATAGGTAAAGGTGATAATCTATAAAAAAAATATTGTATTGATCCATAAATTTTTAAAAATGTTATAACAGTTTTAAGTAAAAAAAATTGGGTAATGTCTTCCACTAGATACGATTTGTGATCTTTTGACGTATTATTCATAAAAATTGGTCCAGTGAAAGCTGAGATTGAGTGGTAACAGACACAAAAAGAAACATTATCATAGTAAAATACCTTCTCAGTTTCGCATCGAAGCTAAAATACGATTTTTGTAAAAAAATTATTTTTTACATTTTTAATATTATAATGCTATAACTTTTTCAAAAATGAACATATCAATATAATTCTTTTTTATATAGATGCATAATATCATTACCTTTCATTTGGTATATTTTTTTCATAAATTTAACCCTTAACCTGCCCACAAGGGGGGATTTAAAATGACAACTTTTTCACAAAAAATTAATTTTTTTAACTTAAATTTTGAAAATGTTCCGGAAGGTCTGACACTTTTATATATATCTTAAATTAAAGCTAATGTAATATNTTAATGTTTGATAGTGTTCTGGAAACTCTGACACTTTTATATATATCTTAAATTAAAGCTAATGTAATGTACTTTATTATGGAAAAAAAAAAATTTCGGAATTTTGTCTTCACGGTGAAAATGGTTACCGAATGCTATTTTTGTGTGAAAATTCTCGATTTTATTTTTTACATTTTTAACTTTATAATGCATAGACTTTTCAATAAGTTATATAACTTATTGAAAAGTGTATGGATCAACACAATTTTTTTATGGGAAATAATATTTTTTAATAATCCCTTTTTCATTCGACATACTTTATCTGAATCAGGATATTAATAAGGAACTAGCAGATCATGTAGCTTTTGGAATAATCCATCAATTTTTTTTAATTAAACACTATCTAAAGATTTGTATCGAAGCGTTTTTTATGATAGTGAATTCAATCACTGTCAGATATCATTATACTTGACCTAACTATGCCACGTCACCACTGTGCTGCGAAATAAGAAAAATAAATAGTGTAGGTTTTAAATAAGTATACAATAATAATATAATGTACAACAAAACCTGCTGAGTAATACAGTCTTATTAAAAATATAAATATTTTAGAGATGAAGTTCTGGTGATTTTACATTTTGTCAATGGGGACTGAAGGCCTAAAGCCCCTCAACTATACTAAAAAACCTAATAAAAAAAAAATTATCAATATTACTTTTATTTCATCGAAAAAATGCTGGTTCATTAAATTTTCTTACAAAATTTCAAAACTGTTCACACACGCATATGTGTGTGTATATAAAAGTGGAATAAGATCTAACTAACACTAATCTTATAACTTTTGATACAATTAAGATTTGGTTGTAATTTTTTCTTAATTTTTCTAGTTAGCTATCAATATTAATGATTAAAACTTTTATTTCCTTTTGGTGTGTCATTTTTGATAAAAATTACATACCATAATTATTTTGATTTATTTTAGACTTTTGAACATATGGAAACAAATATAGAAATTTTTGCAGAAATTTTTGTAAATTATGTAAGTAACTATGTTATTTTACCTTATTTATAATACTTCATTTATTTTAGTAAGAAATACAAATATTACTTTTAATGTTTTATTTTAGAATCATACTTCAATAAAGAGTTCAATAGAGCTCAAAATCGTACGTAATTTTTGCTACAAATATTAACATCTATTAATTGATTATATAATTATAAAACATTTTATATACAAAAAAAAAAAAAAAAATTAATTACATATAATTTAGTATACTTGAATACTTTTTTAGTTTAAAATATTTCTAGTTGGCTACATTAAAATATATATTTTGATAATTATTGATATTAATATTTTTTTAAGATTTTTAAAGAAAAAGGTATCGTTATGATTAACAAAAAAGATGAGAATCAACCCAAACAGTTTTCATACGATGGTATGTATATTTAATGATAAATTTAGATTTATATCATGTTAGTTAAGCGCAAGTTAGTTTAAGAAGAGTATTGCTTGTAAAGTTTTGACCAATTTCTATTGATAATTTGCTGTTTAGCCATACAGTAGTGGTCATACCGGGTCCGTTCAATAAGTATCGGGGCTGGTTATAAAAATCAAAATTTATTGCAGGTATCATTATATGTAATTAATAATCTTCAAAATGCATTTCTCTTGCATCGATATACTTAGTTCGGCGTGTCTGCTACTCGTCAAAAGCTCTCTGGAAGTCGGTTCCCGTAATACTGTTGAGAGTCGCCATTTGAATCGCCTTGATAGAGTCGAACCGATATCCTTTGAACTCCTTTTTCATTCGTGAATACAAGAAGAAGTCTGGTGGAGCCAGGTCTTGGTTGTAGGGGGGTGAGGTAACGATGCCACGCCGAATTTCGCTAGCAGCTGCACAACAATCGCTCCTGCTTCGCGCACACTTTCCTAATAGCAAAATCCTCTGTTACAATCGTATAGACAGTTGTGACTGAAAGGTCTCCTTACTGATAAGGGCGATGGTTAAACGCCTGCCAGAGTCCAAAACTTTTTTTACTTTGGCCACTGAGCATCGGTTTCGCGGTCGTCGGGCGTCCGACACGGTTCTCTCAGCCTTCCTTAAATTTTTTGTGCCACTCAAAAACTTTTGTGTGGCTTAAGGTATCATCCCCATAAACCTGTTTAATGAGTTCAAAGATCTTCGACTCGGATTTATCGAGTTTAATGCAAAACTTCACTGCTTAGTGTTGCTCGACGTTGCGCACCATGCTGGCACAACACACCACAAAAAATCTACCTTCTGTTTCAAAGCAAGCCCGTAATCGACTGAACCATGGTGCACCAGAGTGGTGGGAACTCCTCTAACGAGCCTGACCGGTCGGAACCCTATCCACTGCTCCGTTGAGGCCACAGCAAACCAGTCCCGATACTTATTGAACGGATCTTGAATCTTTATGATGTCGCATAAACAAATTTTTATTGACAATTCTTATTATCATATTTGTCACTTACGATAGTAAAGATTAATACCGATGACAATTTATGGGACGTTGAAAGATATTATTGTTGACTCTGGTATTATGAAAACTAAATTATAGATAATTTTTTTTTTAATCCAAATCTTAAATCACTTTTATAACGCAAATGGTTCATCAGATAAAAAAATGGTAGGAACAATATTATTTAAATTTTTTTTCTATCATATCTAACTAAATATAGGCGTTCCCAATAAAGAAAATTAAAGTGTTTATATTCTTTAATTCTGAAGGATGAAAAAAATTTTTATAACTATATATAATTGTATAGTCCTTTGAATCAAAAAATATTTCCCTATATAAAAATGAGTGTCTTCATCTTAATTGATCACTCTGTATATACAGTTAGCACATATCTAAATTACAACTTCTACAACATTTTGCTGAAATTTTTTATGTGAAAACGTATGTTTAGAAATTTCCTTTTAGGAAACGAACATTTTCGAGCGTAACCACCTTTAACGCTCTAACCTAACCCACCGCCCGTTATACAGAAAACGATGAATACTACCTTTATGTATGTCGATCGTATTTAGATATTTTAAAATAGTTTTATTATTTTAATTTATACTTATTCTATATCTTTTATAATAAATAAATAAAGATTATTATAACTCGGTGTATACTACCGATTTCATTTTCGCGATAACATTCGTCCAGAGTTTTCAATTGTTCATTCGACTTCGGTTATTATATAATCCAACCCAAAAAATTATATTACACACGGTATACTATTATACTTTAAAGTTGAGTTCTTATGATAGTGATTTTAATCACTGTCAAATATCATTTATATTTGTCCCAACTGTGCCATGTATACACTATGCAGCTACCTTATTGTGCTTTTGTTTTTTTAATTTGCATATTTTACATGGTTTTTACAATTTTGCGTATCACGTAAGATTGCAAAAAAAAAATTTTGATTTTGAGAGGAGGGATTGTAACACGGTCCTTTCCCATATATGCGACACTGAATGTATAATTTAATGTTACAAAAATCTATAAAATAATGAATCATTTTATTTACAGTAAAATGTATTAAAGCGTTGGAGTCATATATTAAGGATTTAGACGAAAAAATTAAATTTAAAGTAGTTAAAATTTATGTAAGTTAATTTATCATATTTATAATATTCAAATGTAATGTAATTCAATCTTTCATAAAATTCACTATACAATTTTTTAGACATATATTAAGATTGAATAAATTTTAAACATAATATAGATACAAAATTTTCAGTTTTTGGATATAATTTTTTAAAGTTCAATTAATATTATTTTTATTTTGGATGAAGTGGATTTTAATTTATAAATTTTAAGGATGTTTTGAAAAATAAAGGATATCTACTAATTTTCAATACACAAATTAATCAGTAACGTGTGATGGGTCCTACCCATACAAATTATTTCAAAATATAAACGTTTTTAATCATTAAATATTCATACAATCTTTAGTTACACATTATTCTTGAATTATTAACTATGTAATACTTTTTAAGTTCATCCCTTATGCCTTGTAAGGGTGTCAACTTTGTTTTTTTAAATGGAAACACATATTTTTAATTTAATAAAATGTTTGAGTTTTTAATTTAATAGTAAATGGCATTCGAATTTTTAGTATAACTTTATTAGTTTATTAGATATAAACATTTAAAGACTCAAATTTTTGAGTTAATATACATGTATAATACACAAGGGATTTCAAATACAGGTAGCTATAGGGTTTTTATGCCATCGCTGTCACAGTCACGAATTGTTTATGATAAATTATGACTATCATTAAATATACTTTTTATGTAGTCAGTTAGTGTATTCATGAACTCACAACAATGTGCCTTACTACCATTGATTTAATTACCATTAAATTAAAAATATGTGTTTCCATTTAAAAAAACAAAGTTGACACCCTTACAAGGCATAAGGGGTGAACTTAAAAAGTATTACATAATTAATAATTCAAGAATAATGTGTAACTAAAGATAACCAAAAAAAAAATGTATAAGTATATTTATTCTGTAAGTAATTGAGTGGGTTATGATAAAAAAAATCACCCTGAATAGAATGATCTAGAATGTTTTGACAACTCTTATAACTTTTGATACAATTAACAATTCGCTTGAATTTTTTTTTTAATAATTTATAAATTTTTAGATTACGATAAATTATAATTAAACATCAATAAGAAACTGATAAAGTATTAGTTTTATGATTATCTGTTTTTTTAAGTCTGTTCATAAATTGTTCAGCTCAGATTATAAGATAATTATCACTCTTTTGGTATGTTCTTTTATAAAAACCCATGAAAAACATAAGTACAGGAGGAGTTTGAAATATGGAGATTAATTTCTGGAGAAATAATTAATAAAAAGATGGAAAGATCGATTTTTCTGACCTTCATTAGTTAACTGTAATTTCAGTTATGTGATTGTAATTGAAATTCATCATAAGTTATTAGGTGTAAAAATTTCCTCTAAACATATTTATGAATAACACTTAAATTTTGTTTATTATTATTATTTTTTGAAATTTGTAGCAAATGTCAAATGGGGTATTTAACGAGGGTGTTAAGTATATACTTATAACGTTTGACCTTAAGTATAGTACTAAAAAATAGAAAAAATAATTGTAGTAGAAAATTATATATGACATAAGTTTTAAGTAAAATAAGTTAAAGAAGTGTCAAAACTTACCGATTTTTAAATGATAATTTTTACGGGGATTTCCAATTTACAGAAAACGAGGGAAAAATGTTCAATTTTTGAGGGTACTGTCATCAACTACGTACGGTGTGTGATCTTTTGACGCATAGTTGAAAAAAGTAGCATAGTAGGGTCGTGGCACAGTGTGAGCGTGATAATTTATATCACATGAAAGGGACATATCTAAGGTTTTAATATAAAAATAATTTATTTTTATTTGTTCATTTTTCAATAAGTTATGAAAATTTTTAGAAAAAAAAATGTCGAAATTTATCGATTCTAAAAATCATAATTTTTGGAAGGATTTCCACTATTTATGGGGAACGAGGGCAAAATTTTTATTTTTTGAGGGTAATGTCTTCAACTTGATATAATTTGTGATCTTTTGACGTATCGTTTAGAAAAATCAGTCCAGTGAGAGCAGAGAAAAAGTAGTGACAGATACAACAATAAAAAATATACATAAGCACAACACAGATAAAATTATTACCTTCTCAGTTTCGTATTAAATCTAAAAATTAAAATATTTTAAACAAAAATAAGCAGTTTTTTTTTAAATTGTCAAAAAAATAAAAAATGGCACATTCAAATTTCATACTTGAAATCGTCGTAACATGATCTAAACATCAATAGTATTGTGCTACATCATATTTCAAAGAATAAAAATTAGAAAATACTATAATTCCTGATTTATACTCACTTTATATATTTAAATGCTTATAATTCATTAATTAATTATCTTAGTTTTTATCAATCCATTAAACGCATTTGTAAGAAAAGAGCTAATATATAATTACTTTAAAACTTTGAAATTTATTGTTAAAAACATGTAATAAAAAATATGATAAAATCGTACTCTAAGAATTCATGAATTATATAAAATAAATAAATACCGCGAAATGTTAATTATACCAAAAGTTATAACAGAACTGTTATAACTGTATTCTGTTGTTAGAACATGCTGGGACACCCTGTGTAGATATTATGAAGGAATTTGTGACGTAATATTATGATCGATTTTTATTAACGTACTTGCAATGGCTTTTTTATGATCGCGGAACTCTCTTTTGAGAAAACTTAATTGACGGACGCGCATTTCTAGCCATCAAGATAGCCCTCTAAAATTTTGGACTCAAGGCAGCTGCCTTGATTTCTAGGCTGAAATACGGCTCTGGGTATATCTTGATAAACGTATTTTTTTTTATTGCAAAAATAGAACTAAGAGCTTTCACAATAAAAATTAATTATTTTTTTAATAGAACAGTAATCATGAAAGTTATAGACCTTTAGATAATGAAACGATTTATAGAAGTCGCGTAAAACGTCAATTACAACAATTAACAAATATGTCCCTGTGGAAATATGTCAAAAAGGAATTAATAACATTTAAGAATAAATCCTTCTCAACAACACTCGAAGGATACATAAATAATTCAACGACGTACAATAAAACTATTAAAGAAACTTTAGAAGAAATCAACCCACTCATAAACGACCGAGTGTGTAAGTATGCCTTACTAGCAATACTTTATATCTATGAAGTACTAAAAATTGAAGATTTAGATTCATATTGGGATAAATTCGTAAACATTTTTGAAAAGCTGAAAGATACACAAAAAACATTTACAAACCAAAATTACTTGACTGTTGGCCATAATGAATTTTGTAGTGAAAAATATACTTCAAAGAAAATTAATAAAATATGTAAATTAGAAAAGCATTTAATAGAATATTTCTTAAATTCAAAAAAATTACTTAATTGTGATTTAACAACTGAAAAGTGTTCAATGTCTTATAAAACAAAAATATTAGATGAAATATTCAAGGACTTTCCTGAACCTCCCAATAAAAATAAGCCATACAATTTTCATAAATTACCTACAACCTTCGAAGAAATACTTTATAATTTAGATACTATTGTTAAGATAGTGGAAGTTGAATTTGATGAAGTTTATAAAATAGAATTATAACTTATGTTTATGTTTATGTACATGTTTTTGAAGAATAGAAACGTTTATTAATTTTTTTCAAGTAACTGATATTTTAATATTATTTACTATTATTTAAAATGATAATTTACTATATATTGTTAAATAAACTTCGAATTATTAATTGAATTCAGCATGTTTTTTTTATATTATTAGATATAGACGTACATTAGACGTTTAATTAAAACAATTCTGTGACTCGTATGAAAACTGATGTATAAGTGGCAGAAATGAGTTTTTTTATAATTTATATTAAAAAGGATATTTTTTGTTGTTTGCCTAAAAATTATAAGTTTATATTATCGAGTAGGTTTGTTTTTTTTATTTTAAAAATTAAAACTTGCTTAAGTCACTATTAAATTCTAAATTTTGTTATTGATCTACTGAAAATTGTTATAATTGACTTGTTAGCTTTTAAAAAAAGTCACAGAATTTATTGATTTTATATTTTGAATTGTTAAATTAATATTAAAAATATAATAATTGTAACAAATATTTAAAATACATTAAACGATTAATTATGACATTTGATAAAAGTTTTTTTTAGAATTGCAATATCTAGATATTTATCAAATAAAAATTAATAAATAAAAAAGCGCTGGAGGGGTAAGTTTTTAGGGTAAAAGAAGGAGTGCACTAAGGTTCTGCTTTAAGTCCTTACTTATTTTCTATAGTGATGAATAAAATTACTAGAGAAAAACAAAAAGAGGTACAATTAAAGACTAGAGGTGTGGTGATCAGTTATTGGAAAAAAGGGTTTGAGAATAAGTAGGAATAAGACAGAGTATATAGAATACGAGTTTGACAGAGGAGAACACAAGGTAAGCTAAATGAAGAGTTCAGTGATAACAGGCGAGGACGTGATAGAGAGGTGGAAAGTTTTAAATATTTAGGATCAGTTGTGTAAAAGAACGGTGGTATTAATGAGTTTATAAGACACAGGATTAAGTGCGGCTGTAGTTATAGAGAAAAGTTATAAGACAGACAATTAGTGGAGAGAAGTGTCTGATGAGTTATGCGAAAAGAGAATTCCAATGAGGCTGAAAGGTAAATTCTACAAGACTGCAGTGAGACCAGCTATGATGTATGGTTCAGAGTGTTGGGCGGTTAACAAGAAAGTAGAGAATGATTGTAGCAGAGATGAGAATGCGAAGATGGATCAGTGGAGTGACTAGAGAAGATAGGATAAGGAACAAACATATAAAAGGGAGTATAGGTGTAGCGTCAATCATAGATAAGATGAAAAAAACCCAGCACGGGGGGTACGCGGCATAGTTGGATCAAGTATAATGATATTTGACAGTGATTTAAATCACTATAAAAAAAAAAACGCTTCGATGCAAATCTTTAGATGGTGTTTAATTAAAAAAAATTGGTGGATTATTCCAAAAACTACATGATCTGCTATTTCCTTATTTATATCCTGATTAAGATAAAGTATATAGAATGAAAGATGGATATAAATATTATTTCTCATAAAAAAATTGTATTGATCCATACACTTTTCAATAAATTATAGCATTATAAAGTTAAAAATGTAAAAAATAAAATCGAGAATTTTCACACAAAAATAGCTTTTGGTAACAATTTCATCGTGAAGACAAAATGAAGTTCAAAAATTTTTTTTTCCATAATAAAATACATTACATTAGCTTTAATTTAAGATATATATATAAAAGTGTCAGACCTTTGGGAAAACTTTCAAAAGTTAATTTTTTGTGAAAAAGTTGTCATTTTAAATCCCCCCCTGTGGGCTGGTAAAGGGTCAGATTTATAAAAAAAATATTCCATATGATAGGTAAAAACATCAAACTTCTATAAAAAAGAATTATATTAATTTGATCATTTTTAAAAAAGTTATAGCAGTTTTAAGTAAAAAATTCTGATAAATAATAACAAATTCAAACATTGCCTGCCGGCGTAATAAAATTGGTCCACACGTGTTAGTTAAATTATTTAAAGAAATATTGATAACGTCAATATTTTTGAGAGCCACAAAGAAAAACATATAGTAAAATAATTTAAATATGAATAAGAAATTTCTTCAAACGAAGAAAGTCTACAGTGATAGGGACTATGATATTTATTGAAGTTATTAGATCTGAATGAGATAAAAATAAAGCGAGTTAAATTTTTTTTTTTACTCAAAAACTTTTTTTAGGTATTTTTAAATTAAAAAATAGCATATTTTTGAATAGCCATTTTCACCATGAAGACATAACAAAGTTGGAATTCTTTTTCCATATTAAAGTACATTACATAAGCTTTAACTTAAGATGTATGTATGTATAAAAGTGTCAGTATTTCCAGAATACTATGAAAAGTTAAGTTGAAAGAGTAAATTTTTTATGAAAAAGTTGTAATTTTGAATTCCTTTCTGTGGACAGGTTGAGGTTCAGATTTACAAAAAAATATATACAAAATGATAAGTAAATACCTCGTGTATCTATAAAAAAAATGATTTTGGTACGTTCATTTTTCAAAAAGTTATGATATTTTTAAGTAAAAAATATTTAAAATATGTCAATAATTAGCGATTTTTAAATTTGTAACTTTTTGGGAGATTTACCCTATTTACGGGGAACTAGGGGTTTTTTTTTTGAGGGTAATACCTTCACATTGAATCTAAAAAAGAAATTATATATATATATATTTATTTTATCAAACGACGAAAGCATCGAATAGTTGCCGAGTCAGTAACACTTGTATATTTCACGCGAAGGGTACGAGGTTTAAATCCGTCTGTGGCAATTAATATTTTGCATTTTTTTTTCGAGTTAGAATAAAATTTTCAAATAATTTGGTATTTATCTCATTTGGATTCAATATCTTCAATAAATATAAAGGATCCTATCACTATACTCTCCCCTCGTGAGAAGAAATTTATATTCATGTTAATATTATTTTACTATGTAGTTTTTTTTGTGGCTACGATTTATTTTGCCAACCCTCACTAGACCTATTTTTTCAACGATACGTCAAATGATTACATTTCGTATTTAGTTTAAGTTATTACTCTTAAAAATCGAAAAAATATTCCTTATTTAAATAAAAAGTAGCTTAACCAGTTTTTTCCATACAAACAATTAAAATCATTCATTTCTAATATTCTTAAAATATTTATTGTCGAATTAGATATAATATGATAAAATATTCAACTACAAAAGTAAATAATTTTACTTTGTAATTTTTTAACTCTATTTGTGTGTCTAATACCAGTCTATAATATTCCAAATTTTTTTGTAACATGTTGCTATATAAATCATAAATTAAAAAAAAAATGATTTTTAGTTTCACCAAATTTAACGATAGATTTTTACAATTATAATCAAATTTTATAATACGCTCAATTAAGTAAATCTTTTTAAAAACTTTTTTTTTTTTGGTTCTTTAGTTAAAATAAATCATTTAAATTAATTAAGTTCTGAATATTTCCATTGTAGAATCTTTTTAAATACCAAAAATTAATTAGAAATGATTACTATGATTTTTATTTAAATGATCTATTACGATAATAATGTAAAAAAAAATCAAACTATTCTGATAAATTTACTGTAAATAGTAATTATAAAATTTGCTGACTGCATATTAATTTTAACAATTTCATTTTTTTCTATTTAATCATGTTAAGTTCTAACTTGCAAGTTGAGCTAAAAGTTATGGAGTCTAAGAATTACTAATCTGGATATAATTAAGAAAAAAGAAGTTGATGTTGCTTTTGTAATTATGCACCAATTTCTTAGAATTAAACACTACAGATTTGCATCGAAGCGTTTCTTATGATAGTGATTTTAATCACTGTCAGATTAAATCTATACTGGACCCAACTATGCCACGTCCCCACTGTGCTGGGTTTTCTTAAAAGTAGCCTTTGGAATAATCCACCAATTTTTTAAAATTAAACACTATCTTCAGATTTGCATCGAAGCGTTTTTTATGATGGTGATTTTAATCACTCTCAGATATCTTTATACTTGACTAAACTATGCCACGTCCTCACTGTGCCGTAACCCCACTGTTTAAGGTTTTTTATTTGATAATGATCTTATTTTGAATAGGACATGTTGATAACGACGTTTGAACAAGTATTTCAAAAGTTTTAACAATTTGATGTAACAGTTGGAGATAAAGCCGAATGATAATATTTTTAACACCCTTATATTAGTTTCACTTGTATGTGTGTTGTTTGTAACTTTCCACGCGCACGCGCACTAGACTAGACGGTCCTAACGTATTCACCCCACCCTGCTCTACAGTCGTCGAAAATAATATTTTCCAACCCGTAGACGCGCGCGTGTCATCAATTATATATATACATAACAAATTTTTATTGTAATTGACACAGCCCCGCGTCGTTTTACGCCGCGGTGCAAAGTCCAGCAAGTGCCGCACGGCCGACGACGTCCCGCCGTTAATGATACCGTAGTCTTCTTCTCGTTGTCAAAGTGACAACGTCAACAAACCGATCCGCACTCGCGCACTGTTGTCATCTACGCTGCTAACCTTTTTGACGCCATAGGATCACGCCGGACATCGTGTCGTCGACGCCAGCAAAAGTGCCGCGATATTATGCGAAGATCATATATTCCTACCGCCATCGCTAATATTAATATATATATATATTAATATTTATACGTATATGTTAATATTCATTTATATATTCCTACAGCCGACGCCTCTGCCGCCATATATGCCTCGTGTATAATGTTCCCCCCGCCCACAAAACACGGCTATACCTCATGCATGATACGTTTACGTACTTAAGTCCCTTTACATGTATATATATATATTCTAATTACTAATAAAACTTATATATTAATACGCTTTATTCTCATTAAGAGATATGTGGTGTATTCATTCCGATTACGGGGGATGATTCCCGTATCGTCATTTTTCATCACTACCTCCACGTTGCGCGCCTGCTGCTTTCCTTGGATGTGGTAGCCGTTTCTCAGACTCCCTCCCCGGAATCGAACCCTGTATTGCCGTTACCCGTTACAACCATGATATTGATAGTAACTACTATCATAACATAAAACTAAAAAGTAAAAAATAAATATAGTTTAAAAAAACTAAAAAACACGCTTTTAAAGCACATTGAACTAAAAAGTTCAAAATAATTTTTAAAATAAGCTTAAAACAATATTGAACGAAAAGTACTAGTATTATTGTAATAAAAGCGTCNCAATATTAAACGAAAAGCACTAGAATTATTGTGATAAAAGCGTGGGCGCTTCGTGCCATATTTTTCGTATATTGAGCGCCCGACGCTTTTATCACAATAATACTAGTACTTTTCGTTCAATATTATTTTAAGCTTATTTTAAAAATTATTTTGAACTTTTTAGTTCAATGTGTTTTAAAAGCGTGTTTTTTTAGTTTTTTTAAACTATATTTTTATCATTACACATTTCTCGTGCTTTCCGAAACACTGGTCCAAATGTTATTACTGATCTTTTGTTTTCTGAAGTAGATCATTATATAATGAAGAAGTTACCTGTATGTTTTTACTTAAAATTAATTACACAATCTTCATCAGAAGAATTTATTATGAGAATTAATCTTGAAAAAACATGGTATAGTTGTACACTATACAACTATCATAGGTTTAAATTATTTCATATCTAAATTATTATTATTTCATCTATAGAAAGGTGGTGTGAATTATCGATTAAACGTATAATTGATTATTAAAAATTACTAGTCTATAATAATAATAATAATTAGGAACTCTCTTTCATAATAAAGAGAATATTTTATTTTTTTAAAGTAAATTTAATAAAAAAAAATAAATTGAAACATAGTCAAAAATTTAATTACTCATCCTGCATAATTTAATATTGGTGAGTTAGCTGATTTACTTTAATATAATATGTTATATTTAACATTTCCTTGTATTCTGTGTTAATTAGCCTTAAAATTATCTCCAATTTTGTCTTTATATCATTTAGTCGATTTGGTATAGTCTCAAAATTGTATGAGATAACGTCGTTTTCGTGAGGTTTGGGAAATCCCCGAAATACTTTATTTAATACATTTTGTGATAATCTGCGAGTCCTTGCTAAATCATTTATTTCCATGGGTGTTAAGAATAATTTTGTATATTTCAACATGATTTTTTTCACAATTTCCTCACATTGACCTGATTCAATACCTTTTTGTAATATTGGAAAGTCAGAACGTAAGTCATAATGTATGTTATTGGATATTATCGGATAAATTTGTGCGGTGCTCAATTTTTTAGAAACTATTTGGAATGATTCCCAGTCTATTGTTTTCTCAAAATCATTTTTTAATGTCATATAGGCATATATGACTAGTAAAAACGCATACTTAAAAGTTCGATCATTCATGATTCTTAGTGCTTCCTGAAGAGTAAATGCAACATATTTATTATATGTTGTTGAGTTATTAATGAAATCTTCAAGTGTTATATAGGGTTGAGTAGAAATATCACAGTTAACAATCTCCTCTTTCACATATTTCCATAAAGACAGTTTTTCTAACATTTCTAGCTTTATTTTTATATTTAACTCATAAACCGTAGAATGAGCTAAAGTTCTATTTTTAGGAAGATTACTCTCCTGTAAAAAATAAATTTATAATTTATATCAAATTCAAGTTTAATTTTCCTTCATTAAAAACATATTCTATACATTAATGTATTATCATAAAATATTTAACGGTAGGAAATATTTAGATTAGATAAAAAATTAAAATAATTTGATATTATGAGTTTTTTTTATAAGAATAATGTCATCAGTTCTATTTATCCCGTGAGCTGTCTATTCATACCTGGATTAAAGAAACTTTAGTGTTGAATAAAGAAACTAGTATGGTTGTGAAATATGAATGTAGTTAAACGAATAATCTGTCTGTAGTAATAGAAGTGTTAAAAAGTAAAAATGCAAAAAATTGTAATATTTATCAATTATTACTTTAATCAAGCTTTTATATTAAATTAAAAAATTTGGTACAGCAGAATCCCACATAAAGAACTTTAATATTGAATTAAATCGAATATTAATGTATAGCATTATCAAAAAAATACTTCGATACAATTATGCATAAAGAACTTATGTGCATAATAAAATAAAATATAAATTGAAAGCTGTTAGTAATTTTTACCACTGTAATAAAACACTTCGATGAGAATTCCTTAAAGAGGGGATTAGAAAAAACATAGCAAAAATTAAACGGAAATTTTACAAATTTTGACTTAAGTTACCATTTACTTAATGTAGAAAAGTCTTAGGGATATTTTTCTATTATTAATCTTCAAAAATTACTTAATTGGATTTTTAAAAAAAATTAGTCGGTAAATGACTAAATTATTATCAATAAAAAGTTCATGTTCCGAAATGATCACGATATTACGGATAGATGATACGTCTAGTTTTCAAAAAGTTAGTTTAATATAAAGTAAAAATATAAATATACTGTATATTCTATTAAAAAAATGATTATTTTTCAGGTCATTTCCTTTTAGTACGGACAATGGCAGGAATTTTATCAAATGATGATACTAATAACTTTAATTAAATATGATATTTAGACGTTCGAACAAATCGATTTAGTAGGAATAGAATATTTATATGTATAGATAAAAAAATACACAACATAATAAAACACATATTTTTTCAACTATCATGTACTGTAATACCTACCTACCTTAGACATTTCATCTATGACTTATATCATGAATAATGTATATGATTTTTACTGAATTGCAGTATTATTATTTGGAAAAGTAAGAATTGTTTTGCTTTTAATAATTATAACCTCTATATTTAAATCATGCTTAGCTATTTTTGATGAACACTCATATGAATTTTAATAACGTTTAAAGTATAAAATTTTTATAAACATAAAATTAATAATCAAATGATAATTTAATTATGGATTAATATAAACTAAAAAATATTTTTCATTTATGTAGGACTATTCAGAGATTATTTACCGATTTTTGTATTTGTGTACTGATTTTTTAAATTTTATACGAAACAAAAAATAACCATTCAATATATAAGACATAAGTTCGTTTTTTATGCAAAAGTTGCCATTTTAAATCCCCTGTTGCAGATATATGAGATATAATTTTATAATGTATAAATTAAGTAATTTTAAGTATTAATATTCACAAGCATTTTATTGAAAAGATAACTTTTTATATCGAGTAATATGTGCATTTTTAAACATTCAGTAATTAGTCCCACATTTACTGTAAAACTAAATTTAATCGCAAAAGATTTAAATTCAAAATTAAGTATACGAAAATATTTTAAACATATTGATTAACTTACATAGATTTTAACTACTTTGAAATGAATTTTATTGTTTAACATTAGAATAGATTGCTGCAATAGATTAATACCATGTTCTGTAAAAAAATGATTTCATAATTTAATATATTTTTCTAAGATTTTTTAACGACTTTTTATATTGTCATGATACATTAATGTGTTTCAACTAGTGATATTAAACAGGATTTATTCAACATGATCTATACTTACCGTTGTATGAGAATTCTTCTTGTTTGTTATTGTGATTTAAAATAATGTTATTTTTTCCAAAAGTCTTTAAAAAATAAATAACAGTAATTAAAAAAAAATTATATTATTTTGGTAAAACAGAGAAATATTAATTTTTTTTTGCAAAAGCGTTGGTCATTTGAATGAAATCTTAAGAAAATATAATAAAGAATTTTAATTTTCAAATTTGTCTGTGTTCATTTTCTACAGGTTTTATTGAAAGATTACAGTAAAAATGTATAAAATTATTATTATTGAAATTCATCTATTTAATTAAAAAAAATAAATAATCAGGTATATTTAATTTGTGTAAAAATTATGAAATTGCACATCAAGTAACTTAATCGGATCATTATATAATCAGAATCGATGACTTAAATTAATGTATAACTGTTTTTATTGTTACTAACACATTTCTTTATCCAATTACACCTATTAATTTTCATTTATCTTTTTCCTCGTTATACTAGACTCTTTGTAACACTACATGACTGAACCGCACAAAATGGCTGACGCATAGATAGTGATTAATTTTTAAAAGGAATTGTATAATTATTCCACAGCAAATCAACTCCTATTTCCTTATTTATATCCTGATTTCTAGTTTTTATTATTTTATATTTACATATTATAGATTAATATTGTAATTTTTGGGGAAAAATTATAAAAAATTATAATGAAGTTGTATATTTTAATTAATCTATGTTAAATCTGTATCAAAATATTAAGCCTAGATTTATAAAAAAAAAAAAAAAATGAAAAGTTTAAAAAGTCAACTTTAATTTCACACATAGAAAACAAGTAATCAGGATAAATTTATTTTCAACTTTATCGAGTACTCAAGCTTTAATTTAACATGTGTGTAAAAGACGCAGTATTTCCTTAACATTTTTAAAGATAAAGTTAAAAAGTTAAATTTTTGTGGAAATGTTGGTATTTTGAATTCCTCCCGTGGGTAGGTAAAGGGTCAGATTTTCAAAAAATTTATATCAAATAGAAGAAAAATATCTAAATTATAAATAAAAAAAATAATTTATTTTGATTCATTTATTTTTAAAAAAGTTATATAAAAAAGTTTTAAAAATTTACTGATTTTAAAAATTGTAGTTTTATGATCGATTTTTATCATTTACTGTGAATGATGGAAATTTGTTCAATTTTTAAGGGTTACGTATTCAATAAGATACGATTTGTGATGTTTTGACGTATCGTTGAGAATAATCAATTCATTGAGAGCTGAGAAATAGTAGTAACATAAATAATAAATAAAAATAAACATATAGTAAATTAATATCTTCTTAGCTTCGCATCAAAGCTAAAAATAAATAATATGATATCATGATTTATAGATATAAAAAAATAATATGCATAAAAATTTAACAATTAAAATAAAAGTTGCTTACAATTTTAAGATTTGTTTCGATTTTTGGATATTTAACAGACTGTTCATTCTAAAATAATAAAACATATCGTTACATTGTTCATTTATTACTAAAAATAAATACAATACATTTTATTAGTATTTGATTAATAATTTTTGTTATTATAGATATTTGCGAGCACAAGATATTTTCTTATACAAAGACTACAAATAAGAAAAATTATTATCACCCTCTCTAAACAATATAAATAACTAATAAAAAGTTAATTTTTTTGAAGAGGATATTGATTTCTATTTTTTCTCACTGTCCACATGTTTGACTAAATACTTACATAAATCAAAAAGATTTCTGCAAAAATTTTTTTCTCATTCACAAATTCCTGAAATAAAATTTAAAATACAATAATAACACAATTATTCTGTTTGGTAATAATTATGGATTTCATTTCGGTAATGTAAAAGTGGAAACTTAAAACTTTATTTTATGTTTCCACTTTGTAACTTAAAATAAACATCATTATGTACAGCTTATAACAAAAGCTCAAAAGTCACAAAAATGGGTTTTTAAGAATTAAAAACGGATATAAAGAAGTTTGAATTCTGACGTAAGTTAATAATTTTAGAACAATTTATCAGAAAGGATTGTTGTTTAATAACCTAAATTATATAATTTATATTTACTATACTACAATATAATTCATTCAAACAACGGGTTTTTGTTAATACTATACATATTCAGCAAGTCTCAGATCTAAATGACAACACTTATTACTTCTAATACAATTTTTTAACAAAAATAATACAAATCAAATAAAAGTCCTTCAATAAATTATTTTTAAATAAAGGGGCGTAGTTCTCATTACCAAAATAAAGCGTCTATGCACAAAATAGAAAAGATATAAAATAAATAAGACAAACAATTAAAAACTTAGTTTTATAATGAAGAATAGAACGGTTTTTAATGTCGGTGAGAAGAGGACAGTATGCATGATTTGAAATGATGAGAACATGAACGGATTGCTGACTACAAGGGTAGTCGTTTATTAAGTAAATACTTCAATATGGACAGAGCCGAGCACTAAATAAGTGCACGGGTGCGAAAACTCGAGGATATCAGAGCAGAACAGGATGTTCAAGAACACTAGAATATATGGTTCACTATAGCCGAACAATAACACACACACAAGTGGAAAGGCTTGCTAAGTATGCAAAAGAAAAACTCAGACAGTACACGGGAGCAATTGACGCATAGGCCGCGGATTTACTGTGCCGGGTGGACTTGGGTGTAGTTTAGCAAAGACACTAGAGATCAGCTGTCACGCGATATGATGTACTCAACGGTGTTTGTGACAACTGGACCACAAGGTCTTTGTGAAAGGCGCTCTATACCAAACAAGTTAGAAACCTTAATTATTTATGGAATAATTATGAAATAACAGTTATAAATTATTCCTCTAAATATTTAATTTTATGTTCTTTACAAACAATTGGCACATTTTTCTATTAAAATGTGTAGCAAAGTTTTATTGAATATGGCAATCCACGTTTAATAAGTGTGAATGATTGCTTCATACACAATACACAATCTTAGCCCAAATTACTTTAATTTGGCTTCGATGCAAAGCTGAAGATTTACTGGTATAGTGATGGTGTATATTATTTTTATGTAGATTCATGAAGATTCTCAGCTTTACTGGACTAATTTTATTGATCATTACGNTTGGTCCACAAGGTCTTTGTTAAAAGCGCTCTATACCAAACAAGTTAGACACCTTAATTATTTATTGAATAATTATGAAATAACAGTTATAAATTATTCCTCTAAATATTTAATTTTATATTCTTTACAAACAATTGGCACATTTTTCTATTAAAATGTGTAGCAAAGTTTTATTGAATATGGCAATCCACGTTTAATAAGTGTGCATGATTGCTTCATACACAATACACAATCTTAGCCCAAATTACTTTTATTTAGCTTCGATGCAAAGCTGAAGATTTATTGGTATAGTGATGGTGTATATTATTTTTATGTAGATTCATGAAGATTCTCAGCTTTACTGGACTAATTTTATTGATCATTACGTCATAATAACTTGAATTTAATCTAGTAATTCCTATCATCGCCAAGAATTCGAAAAAAAATTCACTTAAAAAAAAAAGAAAAATATTATAAAATAATATTAGCATAAAAAATGAAATTTTCAAAAAAGCCTTGTAATAATATACTAAATTGTGTACACATGTTGAACAGGTGGCATAANCATGATTGCTTCATACATAATACACAATCTTAGCCCAAATTACTTTTATTTAGCTTCGATGCAAAGCTGAAGATTTATTGGTATAGTGATGGTGTATATTATTTTTATGTAGATTCATGAAGATTCTCAGCTTTACTGGACTAATTTTATTGATCATTACGTCATAATAACTTGAATTTAATCTAGTAATTCCTATCATCGCCAAGAATTCGAGAAAAATACTCAATTTAAAAAAAAGAAAAATATTATAAAATTATATTAGCATAAAAAATGAAATTTTCAAAAAAGCCTTGTAATAATATACTAAATTGTGTACACATGTTGAACAGGTGGCATAANACTAAAGGAAATATTGAGTAGGTACGAAGATGATGACGAGTTTGCTACCTGTTTATTTATATACGTGTGTTCATACAGCAATTGCCGTACTTGACTGACACTTCGGAATGGCTGTAGGTTTTAAAAGGTCGTTGTTATAAGAGAATAAGTGTTACACTTATTGTGTAACTAGGTATGAGGTGCAGACGAATTGCAAAAAAAAAAATACTAGGCATACCGGGTAAGGAACATAACAGAGTACGAGGTGTAGACAAAGTGAAAGTCACAAGTACTCTGAAATGTTGAGGACGAANACTTCGGAATGGCTGTAGGTTTCAAAAGGTCGTTGTTATAAGAGAATAAGTGTTACACTTATTGTGTAACTAGGTATGAGGTGCAGACGAATTGCAAAATACAAATATTAGGCATACCGGGTAAGGAACATAACAGAGTACGAGGTGTAGACAAAGTGAAAGTCACAAGTACTCTGAAATGTTGAGGACGAAAATTGATAGGTGAAAAGGAAAAACAAAGATATGACTTTATACAGTATGTCGGATAGCGACAACCAAGTACTGAGACTAATGAATGAATGGATGAATTAATATAATAAATTATAATTTTTGTTTAAAATAAATTCTTACAATCGTTAAAGGTCCACACTGTAGAATCTAAAATAAAAAAAAATTTTATAACGGAATGTTTATATTAAACATTGCAAAAGCATAAGTATTAACAATTCACAATAAAAACATACTCTGAAAAAATTCAAACTTCTTGATATATCCATCATTTTAGCTTGATAATTCTATAATATAATCAATGAATGTTAATAAGACAGATTTTAAATTCAAAGAGTTTAATTCATAAAGTTGAACAAATAAATCTAATCATGATTGACACTTACATAACCCCCTTCATTTGTTATAATATCCATCACACCTTCCTATATAAAAAAAAATGGATTTGAAAATTTGCAATACTCATTTGACATTGATAATTACAATAAGAATAAACAATTATTAATTTCAAAAATAATAATTAAAGGTGCTTAGGAAGAAGAAAATTATATGATGATTATCTTAGTTCTAAGAAAGCGTTAGGTATGATATTTTAAACTAACAAATGTAATGTCACATGGAAATTAGATAAAAAGCATCTTAACTATATTATTAAATTAAATATCACTTAATGAATTTTTCAAATTACTTGGCCAATTAAAATTATGTTTCCAAAAACATTACCAAAATAAAAATCAATCCCAAGAATTAAAACAAAAGAATATGTTATGTGAATCATTTCTTAAGAATATTAAAATTTAAACTATATAACTATATTTAAACTAATCAACTTATACCATAGAATTATTGAGTTAGTTTTCCACAAAATTTTTGAATTTTTATAAGTCTTAAAATAAATGAAATATTAAAATTAGCGAAAATTATTTTAATCTGTTACATAAAACGTATTTTTCATTCGATCGAAGACAAAATTATATAATTTATGCTTTTATTATGTTAATGTAAACAGGAATTATTTTCAAGAACTGCTGTTACTTATATGTTCTAAATGTATAAAACTATACTTTTATTCCTATATATTTGACTGCTAATAATAATTAAATAAAAATATTAACATCTAGGGTCAAAAAAAAAAAAATGACATGCTTAATGCAAATCTATTTTATGTTGTGTTTGACAAAAGATTGTGTGAAATTTTTGGAGGACCAATTATATTTCTGTAAAGATTTGTAATTAAAAAAGTTTTTTCTAAAATTAAATAAAATGTTTGGAATATTTTTAATAAAAGACTTTGAGTTATTATTAAAAAAAATAAGGTTATTTGATAAAAATAATAGGGTTTCTTTTTTTTTTTAAATCTTGTGCTATTTTCATAGTGTTATAATTATTATTCAAAAATAAGTCCAATTTATTTAAAACGATTTGTTTTTTTCACATTTACTAGTAAAACTTTATAATTTAAATTTATTGAGTTAAGATAATAGTTTATTGTTATTAATAGAATTATTTTTCTTTGGAATGCTAATTACTTTTTTTTTAATTATAAAAAAATTAAAATGTGTTAATAAATAAAAAACATGTAAAAATGGTCTAATGTTTGATATCCATCAACAAATTGGTCCAAAATTATATTATTTTTTCAATATTAAAATTTTAGATTAGTTTATTCGAATTAAATTTTATTCCGTAATTAGCTGATTATTTTTTATTTTAAAAAAGAAACTTTATTTTATTGATTTGAAATTTTTATAATGTATAATATGTATGTAAAAATGATATGCTTTTATTTTAAGTGATAATATAACACTACACATCATATAAATTATAAATAAAAATAATATTTTTCGTGTTTGGTTGGGTAATTTGTTGACAATAATTTTTAATTTTTAAAAAATTTAAGGCAATAAATTTTTATTATTCGAATAACAAAAGAATAAATTAAACGTGCAATGTTTAGCAAGTCAGAATTAGTCGTAAAAAGCGTATTTATAAATTTCTTTAAGTCAGTACTATAAACTGAAAAATAATTTATTTTTAAATAAATTGTATATAAACGTTATTACTAATAAGTATCATTTTGTGTCAAAAATAGCATTACCAAATTATCTTAAGAATACCCATGCCATTTAGTTCTACATATTGCATGCGTATAAGTTTTTCAAACCTTATTACAGTTATATTAAAAAAAAAAACACGATAGTGCAGTGGGATCGTGGAATAGTGTAGACGTGGCATAGTTGGGACAAGTTTCAGGGTGGCCCACCACTCACTGACAACTTAAATAATTTTTGATCCAGTTAATATTTTTAGCTGATTTTTTTTTTAAATAATAGTTATACGTTAGGTCCATAGCTATATCTCAATAATTAATTTTTTTACATTTAATTAAAAATATTATTTATTAGCTTCGATGCGAAGGTATTGGTTTTACTAAGATATGTTTTTTTTTGTGTCTGTTACCACTTTTTCTCAGCTCTCACACAACCGATTTCTTTCAATGATAAGTCAAAAGATCACAAATCCTATCTAGTCGAAGATATTATCCTCAAAAATTGAATAAATTTCCCTCGTTCCCCGTAAATGGGGGAAACCTCCGAAAAAATTACAAATTTAAAAAACCCAGCATAGAGGGATCGCGGCACAGTGGTGACGTGGTATAGATGAATCAAGTATAATGATATCTGACAGTGATTAAAATCACTATAAAAAAAAAAAGCTTCGATGCAAATCTTTAGATAGTGTTTAATTTTAAAAAATTGGTGGATTATTCCAAAAGCTTCATAAACTGCTAGTTCCTTATTAATATCCTGATTAAGACAAAGTATGTCGAATAAAAAAGAGATTATTAGAAAATAGTATTTCCCATAAAAAAATTATATTGATCAATACACTTTTCAATAAGTTATAGCATTATAATGTTAAAAATGTAAAAAATAAAATTGAGAATTTTCACACAATAATAGCATTTGGTAGCCATTTTCACCTTGAAGATAAAATAAAGTCCGAAATTTTTTTTTTCCATGATAAAGTATATTACATTAGCTTTAATTTAAGATATATATAAAAGTGTCAGACTTTCCGGAACACTTTCAAAATTTAAGTTGAAAAAGTCAATTTTTTGTGAAAAAGTTGTCATTTTGAATCCCCCCCTGTAGGCAGGTAAAAAGTCAGATTTATAAAAAAAATATACCAAATGATAGGTAAAGACATCATGCATCTACAAAAAAAAGAATTATATTGATCCATACATCTTTCGAGAAGTTATAGCATTATAAAGTTAAAAATATAAAAAAGAATTTTTTTACAAAAATCGTATTTTTTTTATTAAGTTTAATGTCTGTTTTCACCATGAAGATAAAATAAAGTCCGAAATTTTTTTTTACCATTATAAAGTATATTACATTAGCTTTAATTTAAGATATATATAAAAGTGTCAGACCTTCCGGAACACTTTCAAAAGTTACGTTGAAAAAGTTCTACTTTCTATATGCATTTTTATGTTTTGAATCCCCCCTGTATTTAGGGAAATGGTCCGATTTAAAAAAACAGTATGTCGAATGAAAGATCTATATAAATACTACTTCTCATAAAAAAATTGTAATGATTCATACATTTTTCAAAAAGTTATAGCATAATAAAGTTAAAAATGGAAAATACAAAATCGAAAATTTTCACACAAAAATAGCATTCGGTAGCCATTTTCACCATGAAGATAAGATAAAGTCCGAAATTTTTTTTTTTCATGATAAAGCATATTACATTAGCTTTAATTTAAGATATATATAAAAGTGTCAGACCTTCCGGAACATTTTCAAAATTTAAGTTAAAAAAATTAATTTTTTGTGAAAAAGTTGTCATTTTAAATCCCCCCTTGTGGGCAGGTTAAGGGTTAAATTTATGAAAAAAATATACCAAATGAAAGGTAATGATATTATGCATCTATATAAAAAAGAATTATATTGATATGTTTATTTTTGAAAAAGTTATGGCACTTTTAAGTAAAAAAAATTGAAAAAATTTCGAAAATTAGCGATTTTTAAATTTGTAATTTTTTTGGAGGTTTCCCCCTTTTACGGGGAACGAGGGAATTTTTTTCAATTTTTAAGGGTAATGTCTTCGACTAGATACGATTTGTGATCTTTTGACGTATCATTGAAAGAAATCGGTTCGGTGAGAGCTGAGAAAAAGTGGTAACAGACACAAAAAAAAAAAAAAAAAACACATCTTAGTAAAACCAATACCTTCTCAGCTTCGCATCGAAGCTAAAATGACTAATTTTCGAAATTTCTTCAATTTTTTTTACTAAAAACTGCCGTAACTTTTTCAAAAATGAACATATCAATGTAATTTTTTTTTTATAGATGCTTGATGTCTTGACCTATCATTTGATTAATTTTTTTTATAAATTTGACTTATTACCCACTCTCAGAGAGGGATTTAAAATGACAATTTTTTCACAAAAAATTATCTTTTTCAACTTAACTTTTTAAAGTGTTTCGGAAGGTCTGACAATTTTATATATATCATAAATTAAAGCTAATGTAATGTACTTAATTATGAAAAAAAAAAATTTGACCTTTGGATATGTCTCGTCGTAAAAATGGCTATCGAATGCTATTTTTGAGAGAAAATTCTTGATTTTATTTTTTACATTTTTTACTTTAAAATGTTATAACTTATTGAACATTGTATGGATCAACACAATTTTTTTATGAGAAATAATATTTTTTAATAATCCTGAATGAAAAAGGATATTAACAAGAAAATATCAGATCATGTAGCTTTTGAAATAATCCACAAATTTTTTAAAATTAAATACTATCTAAAGATTTGCATCGAAACTTTTTATTTGATAGTGATTTTAATCACTGTCAGATATCATTATACTTGATCCAACTATGCCACGTCACCACTATGCCGCGTACCCTCTGTGCTGGGTTTTTTTGTTCGATTTTAGTTAAATGCAATACTTAGAAGATATTGTGATATTTGTTTTGCGATATTATGTGTTCTTTTTATTGCTTTCCATGAAATTCTCAACTCTCTTTGATGCGATTTTAATGCACAGTATTGCCTCAAATGCTTACTCCCTTTTTTACTTTTTTGGTAGTTAACAATAAAATAATTTAAATAATTTTTTCATGCTAAATGACTTTTGGACTTGTCTTCGTGGTGAAATTGGCTACTGAATGTTATTTTTGTGTGTAAATTCTCGATTTTATATTTTTAATTATTTACTTTAAAATGCTATAACTTTTTAAAAAATGTATGGATCAATACAATTTTTTCATGACGAGTAGTTTCTATATACATCTTTCATTCGGCATATTTTTTTTTAAAATCTGACTATTTCCTTATACACGGTTGGATATTGATAAGAAACTAGCAGATCATGTAGCTTTTGCAATAATGTACTAATTTTTTAATATTAAACACTATCTAAAGATTTGCATCGAAGCGTTTTATTTTATAGTGATTTTAATCACTGTCAGATATCATTATACTTGATCCAACTATGCCACGTCACCATTGTGCCACGACCCCCCTGTGCTTGTTTTTTTTTTTTAATGTGTTTTAATAAAGTACATTGGATTAGAAAGTATTTTTAATAAAAGTATATAGCATTATTCTACACTTCATCTATGAATAATAAAATAATTTATATAGTTTTGTCATCTAATATAAGATATTATGTTAAAAATAAACATTTACATATATTTTTCACATATTTTAAATACTTGTCTTTTTTAATTTATGGTTTTAATATTTTCTTTAATTCATCAACTATAAAAATGAAAATTTCAAACGAAAATTTATAAAATATATTCTAAGATTTAAGTCTATTCTAAGATATATATAATATTAAAAAAAAATGTTTTATAAAATAAATTCTGTTGTTTTAATTTTTCTATATGTTTTATTTTTTAGAAATGTTTTTGTAAATACAATTTTAATTGGCAAAGTAATTTAAATAAAGTTTAATTTATTAAGATGCTTTTAATTTAATTGTCATATGATGTCTTGAAATATAAAACATAAAATTAACTTAAATTATAATTTACCAAATTTACAAGAATTTTTTTTTTCAAATAGGAAGGAGAAATAGATATTTGTCAGCCGTATGATAATATGAATGTAAGTTGCAGCATCAATAAATTTAATAAATTAATCTATTTTTAAATGATTAACATTCATTAATTATATTATAGCGGTTAGATGCAGAGATGATTAAGGAAGTATGCTGTTTAAATACTTCAAATGTAAGTGTTTATCGTGTATTGTTACCACTTCGATTATGTTATAATTATGCAATAATGTTTAAAAAAACCCTGTCGCTTAAATTTTTTTATTTATTTTAGGAGTATGTAATGTGTAAGGATTTAAGAATGGTGAGAACTTATTTTAAGTAGGCATTATAACCGAAATAAATAACAAGGAAAACACGTATGATTCGTATTCCGCAAAAACTAGTAGTTTCTAGGCTCCTGTCTTAAAGTTCCCGTTTAGCATGAAAAAATTATTTAAATTATTTTTTGTTAACTACCAAAAAAGTAAAAACGGGAGTAAGCATTTGAGGCAATACTGTGTATTAAAATTACTATCAATAAAAACGATTCGATGCAAATCTTTAGATAGTGTTTAATTAAAAAAAAAATGGTGTATTATTCCAAAAGCTACATGATGTGCTAGTTCCTTATTAATATCAGGATATTAATTAGTCCAGAGGTGAAATTTTATTATTCCATAATAAAGTACATTACATTAACTTTAATTTAAGATATATATAAAAGTGTCAGACCTTCCGGAACATTTTCAAAAGTTAAGTTGAAAATGTTAATTTTTTGTGAAAAAGTTTTCATTTTAAATCCGCCCCTGTGGGCAGAAAAAAGGTCAAATTTACAAAAAAAAATATACCAAATAATAGGTCAAGACATCAAGCATCTATAAAAAAAAAATTATATTGATATGTTCATTTTTGAAAAAGTTACGGCAGTTTTTAGTAAAAAAAATTGAAAAAATTTCGAAAATTAGCGATTTTTAAATTTGTAATTTTGTTGGAGGTTTCCCCCATTTACGGGAAATGAGGGAAATTTGAGGGTAATGTTTTCGACTAGATATGATTTTTGATCTTTTGACGTATCATTGAAAGAAATAGGTTCGGTGAGAGCTGAAAAAAAGTGGTAACAGACACAAAAAAAAAATACATCATAGTAAAACCGATACCTTCTCAGCTTCGCATCGAAGCTAAAAAGACTATTTCAATAAAAATCCATTTTTGTGACTTATGATATTTAGTTATAAATTATTATATAATTTATGGTTTATAATAAAAACCAAATATATACATTAGAGTTTTATTAGGTGTTTATTTTAAGTTTTTTATTTTATATCCGCAAAATGAATAATTGTATTTTTGGATTTTATTCCAGAGTTTGGTAAATGAGAAAAAAATTTTTGCGGAAATTCGTTTGCGTTATGTAAGTATCTTGATCATAAGTAGGCTCAATGAGTGAATGTAGAGATCTACCCTCCCCCCTAAAAAAAAAAAAAAATAGAAATTTACTTGTTATGAGTAATTTTTTAATTTGGGTAGGAGTGGGCGGTAATAAATTTTCTTATTTGTATAATTTTGATATGAAAACGTCTTTAGCTTGCATCTATCTTTAATAATAATAATAATTATAAATAAAATAATCTAAATATTTATTTTTATAGGATGATGACAGTACTACGAGAAAAGCAAAAAGCACAATAAATCTTAAAATCGTATGTATCTTATTACATCATTAAACATATATTTTATATCTATAAATCATGAATCATTAAAACACATATGCAAGGTGATTTGATTATCATTAATCACTTAATTAATAAAATAAATAAATATATATTATTGAGAATTTTACTTATAGAATTTTACTTTTAGTTCCGTATTTTACTCGATTTTTTTATTATGAAATATTTATTAATGTCATCTGCAAAAATTTATTGTTTATATGCATAGTTTGTTATAATAGGATTTAATTTTATAACTAATAAATTCCCCCACGTTATTGTCTAAGGTTATGTATAAAAAATAATAACAAACATTGACTAACTAGGATTAATAGTCAATAAATTCAAGAATCATGTTATGTTCATTCAAAATAGATCCTTCAGAATTGTCAAATTACTATGTTTTTCAATAGAACATATAGTAAATCAACACAACAAAATTTTTAAATTTAGAACCATTTATTTAGTTTTCTTGAGTTACATTCAAAAAAAAAAAGTAGATTTGTCTAAATAATAAAAATTGTTTTTAATCACCGTTATTTATAATTTTAAGACGTTTGGAAAAAAAAACATCATTTTAAATTACAAAAAAGAACAGAAATATTACAAATACAACGGTAACTATAGATCATGTTGAATAAATCTTGCTTAATATCACCTGTTGAAACACATAACTGTATCACCATGACAATTTAAAAATTCGTTATTAAATCATACAAAAAAATAGTCAAATTATGAAATCATTTAATTTACAGAAATTGGTATTAATGACTTGCAGTTATTTATTCGAAACTTAGACGAAAATATTTATTTTAATGTAGTTAAAATCTATGTGAGTATATCAATATGTTAAAAATAATTGTGTGTACTTCATTTTAAATTTAAATCTTTTGCGAATAAAATTAAATTTAAAGTAAATGCGGGACTTATCACGGAATGCATAACAATGTAAACAGTGCTCAATATAAACGGCTTTTTTTCAATTAAATACTAGTGAATATTAACACTTAAAATAACTTAACTTATAAATTATACTAAATAGCAACTTAAGCACGAAAAATCATTGTTTAACTTGATTTTTCATAAAAATCCGAAAATATAACTATACAAGTTGTTACTAAAATTGAGAACAATAGAAACCCGTTTCCTTACCAACAACACTTTGTATGTGTATCTTTAACTAAAGCTAATGTAATATACTTTATTTTGAAAAAAAAAGTTTCATTTGAAACTTTCTTTGTACACATTTCTTTTTACAATTTCAATTTTATACCGTCATTACTTTTTAAAAAATATATAACTAAGCGATTTTTTTCTTACGATAAACTACTCTATTAGGGTAGACACGGTAAAAAGGTCACTGATTTTCACAAAAGTTTCTTTGAATATATCTAATATTGAATATAAAGTTAAACTTCTTTTGAATTTTTAGTTCACTTAAATAGAGAAATAGTTACTGAAATGTTGTACTATTTAAATTGCCCCTTTTAAATACCGACAAATGAGATTTACAATTGCCGTAATAATACAGTTAAAATTAATAAATTAAAAAACGACATTTTTATAATATGTATAATTAAGCGATTTTTTTCGTACGGTAAACTACTCTACAAGGGAGGATACGGTAGGAAGGTCACCGATTTTCTCAAAAGTTTCTTTGAATATATTTAATATTGAATATAATGTTAAACTTATTTAAATATTAAGCTTTCTTTACTTATTGAAACTGCTTCAATTCTTATTTATAGATTTGGATAAAGCGTTCGATAGAGTTCCGAGAGAGGTATTTTAAAGTAGTCATTAATATAAGAGATGATACGCATGATGCCACTTGAACCAGGTAAAAAGTGTGAGTGGAGTAATAGAAGATTTTAGTGTAAGTGTAGGAGTGCACCAAAGTCCTGCTTTAAGCCCTTACTTGTTTTTTATAGTGATTAATAAAATTACTAAAGAAATAAAAAGAGAGGTAACATTGTGCATATTGATCAGCTCTTGAAGGAAAAATATTAAGAATAAATAGGAGTAAGAAAGAGTATATAGAGTATGAGTTTGATAAAGGAGAACTCGAGATAAATGAAATGAAGACGTCAATGGCATTAAGCGAGAACGTGAAGAGAGAGATGGAAAATTTTAAGAATTTAGGATCAGTTGTGCAAAAGAACGGTGGTTTTGACAAAGATGTAAGGCATAGGATAATGTGCTGGTGGGAAGAGAAGCGTCTGATGTGTTATGCGATAAGAGAATTCCAATGAGACTGAAAGATAAGTTCTATAAGACTGTAGTGAGACCAGTTATGATGTATGGTTCAGAGTTTTGAGTAGTTGACAAGAAAGTAGAGCAGAGAATGAGTGTAGCAGAGATAAGAATGCTTAGATGGATGAGTAGAGTTACTAGTGAAGATAGGATAAGATGTTGCAAATGTGGACTGTATTTTTCTTTTAACGAGAAGAATGCTACTTAGGTCGCTCAACTATAAATTAATAAAACGAAATTTTGCTATATGTGCAAAGAGAAGCATTTATTAGGAGACTGGTTTTTTTCCGATGAGTAAAAACTGATCGTCTGTTTATCACAATAATAATAAAAAAAAAAAAAAAAACTGTAGATAACGTACGCCGCTACATAAGGAACGATCATATAAGAGGGAGTATAGGTGTAGCATCAATCGTAGATAGGACGAGAGAAAATTGACTTAGATGGTTTGGTCATATAATGAGAAGAGAAAAATCGAAAGCTGCAAGAAAAGTTATAAAAATGAATGTTGAAGGAAGAAGAGGTATAGGGAGACTAAAAAAGAGATGGAGGGATGTTATTGAATGCGATCTGAGAACGACTGATGTGAGTGTAGATGATGTGGGAGATTATCTCAAGTGGAAGTTTAGGATAAGGGTGGCCCACCCCAAGTAGTTGGGATTAAGGCGAGGAAAAATAAGAAGAGGAGTTATTGATTTTAGTTTTTAATATGATATTATTTGAAAATGTCTGCATTTTAAAACTGATGCATTTTTTTATAAACACCGATCCTAACGAAATTTGTAAGTGGCATATGTAATAAACAGATATGATTACATTGTGTTTTATACAAACCAATAAAATCAAATTATTTAAGTTTTTGAATTCATCTAATCTGATATGTCGTGAAATTATTATATATTATTAATATAGAAAGATAATTCTAGTACAATATTATATAGTTTATAAATTTATTTTTTACAGGAGAGTAATGTTCCTATTATTAGAGATTTAGTGAATGATACGGTTTATGATAATGAAATCAAAGATCAACTTTCTAATGTCCAAAATTTATTTTTATGGAAATACGCAAAAGATGATTTTGTTACAGTTGTAGATTCTTCATGTCCTAATATAACACTTGAATATTTCATTCATAATTCAACAGCATATCATAAAACTGTTGAACAAACTCTAACTACGGCAATAGATATCATGTATTATCGAACTGCCAAGTATGCGTGTTTATTAGTTGTATACGCTTATCAATCATTAAATATTTTTTCTGGACAAAACGAAATTTGGAAAAAAATAATAAATGTTTTACGAATATTGAGTAAAGCAGAAAATAGTTTAAAGAACTATAAAGAAGAAAGTCTTTTTTTGATAAATATATCAGAAAAATTAAAACAGATTAATACAAAATCAAGTAGTCGATGTAAATTGTTGAATGATTTGTCTTATTTGGTCAGCAATTTCGTAGCCATTATTTTAAAACCTAGTGGAATTGATACAAAAATTAATGAAAATATCACTCATATAAACATGAAAACATACATATTACCAGAAGATATATCAAAAAAAATATTTAACGGATTTCCCAAACCTCACGAAAACAACGTCAATTCATATATGTTTGAGAACATACCAACTGCACTAGATGATATAAATAAAAACTTGTTTACAATTTTTGAATTAATTGAAACAGAATATGGAATATTTTTAATAGAAAATGAATAACTTTTATCAGTTATATTGTATAATAAATATTTATTTTCTAAAAACTTTTACAATAATTCAATTAAACGTGTAATTAATTATTTATAGTATCATTTTTCTATCAATGTAATACAAAAATGTTAATCATTTAGATGTGAAATAATTTATACATATGATAGCTATATATTTTGTTGACTATATATTTTTAAATTAAAATGAATATTAATTAAAGATTGTGCAATTTATTATTTTAAAATAAAAACTCGTATACACAGTGTGTAACAGATCTAACTGAGAACTCTTATAACTTATAATTAACAAAATTTCCATTTTATAGATAAGTTTTAAAGAACAATTTTGATACCATAAACTCTTAGTTTAATTCAGTAGTTACGTTTATACAGCATTTTGAAATTTGTTAAATTTTGATTTTTTATACAATTTTCCTATGGTATTAAATGTTAGTCCATATTATCTAAAGTACAGAAGTAAACACTTATTCCGTTATTTACTGGTAACAGTACGAGATTTTTTTTCTTGGATTTTCGGATATTTTTTCTAGATTTTTTAGTGACATAAAATTCTAAATTTATTTATTATTAGGATATCAACATTGTTTTTTTAAATGAAAACATATATTTTTAGTTAAATAAATTGATAGTGCTTTCTTTGTTTAAATTATATAATTTTATTTTTATATTCATTTGCTTGTTATATTACTTTAAAATTTCGATTTTTCCTTGTTTTTATATTTTGTTGTACTGTTGAGTAACAATCTAGAGGCGACCAAGTAGTGGCTCTTATCCACGACCCCTCTGATTTTTTGTACCCATATAAAATTTTGGTCCATATTACAAGTGAACTTAGTTTTTCGATTTTTGTATAGGCGATTGATTGTCAATGGAATTAGTATGAAAACGTGACATAATTAAAAAGTTAGGTTACCGACGTGTATCTGCCTTGAAGTGGTAGATGAATTATATTATATCGCGATTGTTTTTTAACATAGTATTTCATTATGAATTATTTTTTACGTTTCGAATAGATAGCGACCTAGCAACTTGTATATCATATCATGCTTATCTATTTGTAGTAAAAACCAATGACTAATCCACAAGTAGTATATTGTATTAATATAATGATATTTAATATTACTAATATATCGTATTGTATAATAAAACATTGAAAATTGAAAACTTACAAAACGATGTACGATTTTCCAAATTTTTTTTTTTCTGAAGTTCATGAGTATCTTTTTTAATATGATATGATTTTGTTTTGCGCATCTCCATATCGTTTAAATTTTATGTTAGTGTGTGCAATTGTCACACACGACATTTAAAAATTGTTTTTAATGATTGTAAAGATTTATTACGTCTAGTGGTTGTTTTTAGTAATAATTAGTAGATTATTATGAAGTATAATTGTGAATACACATAAGTATTTTGTTGTCATATTATTACTTTTTAAATATTTATTTAATTTACAAGCGGGAATAACTTTCTGGTATACTTCTTTTGGAGCTATACTTTGTTTTCTTAACAAATATCGTGTCCGGCGTAGCCTGGTTCTCATATTGAATTCAGTGGCTTATTTGTAAGGATTTTTCGAAGGGCTTAACGGACCTACTGCGGGTGAGGCCTACAGCTTGGTGGAGCCTAGTTAATATATACTTTTTATATTATTTATTTAAACTACTTTGATTAGTCATCAGTACAAAAAAATTGTGTTTATCACTTCTTAAGTTATACTATTTTATATTGTAGTATTTAATTAATAATGTTAAATGATATAAAAAAAACGTTGACCCTGTATCCACACGATCTGTTAAAAAAAAAAATTAGTTATTTCTATACATTTTTTATACCTTTTTAAAGTTCAACAAAAGTAATTAATTTTTTGTTTTCTCTTAAATATTTCCGATTAAGTATATTATATTTATACATGTATTCAGTTATTTTTAAATGATGGAATATTAACCTTATCAAATTTTCATTAAAAATAGAATGAATTAGAAAAATAAATAGAATTGCAATATTTTGTTTTTAATTGTTCATCTAATATGTAATGTAAATTAATTAGTGAATTAATTATTTAATTAATTAATTATTTAAAACAATAATGTATGAAACACATTTATTTTCCTCTAAAAAAAGTTATCCATTAATGTGAGTTTATTCTCACATTCAATAATTTAGGTGTTTATTACATTGTTGCTTTTAAAAGATGAATTTATTTGACTTAAGTATAGTTATTATTAATCATCAATTTTTAAATCTATAAATTAAATTATTATTTAATAAAAGAGAAGCAGAATAATATTTACTACAAAGTTATTTTATACATAATTTTTGGCATTTTATAATTTATGAAGTTGAGACTCACAATAAATATAAGAATGACGGATACATTTTTTTGTCATTATTTTTTGTTCTATATATAGAAAATTTAGGTCATCCTTAATTCTAGAATAAGCGATTCAGTTACGATCATGTTTACACTAATTAATTATAAGTAATGTTAGAGTATGATTAACACCAATATAAAACAATAATAATAATAATAACAAATTAATGGAAATAATATTATGATTTTAAAAAGATGTTCAATTTTTCCCAATTAATTAAATTAGAGATTTTTAAGATAATAGAATGTAAAATAACTTATACAATTTATGCATACATTTTTGTGTTTAAATAAAACAATTATCAAGTAAATTTATTTCAGTGATTTGATTTCATTTTTACTTGATTATAAGGCTATACTAGAAATTTTGCTTCTATACTAATGATAGATTAAACATTATATGAATATGAAGTAATTTTTATTTTAATGTTATAATTGTATTTTGAAAATATCAGTTTATTAAACATGTTTTTTACTTTAAGCAAGAAGTGTATTATTGTACTATAAAATTGTGTAAACTTTATCATTTTTCAATACTATAATCTTTCTCTTAACAAAAATTTAAAAACAAAACAAGCTTTAGAATTATTTATATCAACACATATTTTTGACATTGCATTTAATATTTAAATTTCAATAACGTGCTAAAACAAATTTTTAAATAAATTAAGGAAAAAAGATAATAGTAAATTTTTATTTCGGATTTAATTATAAAATATGATTATAAGAATTTATAATTTAAATTTAAATTCTTAATTTAAATTTAGAAGCAATTACATAAATATTATTCAATTTTGAGTAAAATTTTTTTGAAATTGTGTTTATCCCCAACAGCTATTGTTTAAGCCACATGAAATCTACCATAGCATGACAATTTCCTACCCACCATCACACGAATGATAACACCGTGTCATGTTTATGGTTCGTCCAGTGTGTGGTATGGAGAGATAACTCAGTGTGTCAACTCATGGTATATGTGTCAATGTTGTTTTGGTCTTCATAACTTTGTTGTTATGTCCCGTACGTGTCAAGCGACTAGCCACGGCTGTTTTTTTTTGTTGTTGTCTGTTGCAACAACTTTTAATGTCATCTTCCTTCGATCAAACCCTTGTGTATTTGGCGATGTTCTAAGTGAACTGGTCAATGAATTTATGTTTCCCCGTCCTTTGGTCGAACCCCCCGTGTATGATGTTTAAACTTTCTGGTGAGCAATTATCTCACGGCTAATGTTCGCAATACCCATCCTGAGAGTCCACACCAGCCACCCAATATTGAAATTCCAGTTAGATTACATAACTAAGTTTTCAAAGATATTAGTAAAAATTTATACTAGCTGATGATATGTTTGGAATAATTTAATAAAATTTATAAATTCATATAAATCTGCTATTTAATAATACCAATCAAATAAATTATAATAATGTAATATTTTTCGATTTTTTTTTTTGTAAAATGATAAAATATTCCACTTATAAAAAATTATAGTTTTTAAGTTTCAAGTAACTAAATCTACATTTATTTAAAAAATAAAGAAATAAATTAAATATAGTAATATTTAGTCAGTCTGACTGAACTGTCAAGAGCGTGTATAGATTTTATTTAAACGAATATGAAAATTTAAAAATAATTTATTTTTATTTTTTTACCGGTTATGTTAAAAGATGACATAGTTAAATATCTTAAGGATACCTTTGTCCCTCAAGTCACTCTAAAGATTTCTAGTAAAGCATATGCGTTTTTAAAACTACATTATAATTTTATTAAAAATAAATAAATAATAATAATAGTAAAAATATAACAGAATTATAGTTATGACTGGGTTTCTAAAAACCAAATTACTATCATATTGGTATATTATGAAAATTTACTTTTAAAATATTTTAAAAAATATTAAAATTTTTTNATTATGAAAATTTACTTTTAAAATATTTTAAAAAATATTAAAATTTTTTGATGTGATTTATTAAAGTTCTTTCGATTAGGTAGTCTTTTAAATTTAAAAACGTAAAAGTAAATAGCATTATTTTACACTTCATATATGAAAAAAAAAATAATTTATATATTGTTCTCGTGTAAAACGTGAAAATACGCTATTAATAAACAATTTAAAAATATTTGCAATAATTGTTTTTCTTTAATTGAACTTTTTAATATTTACTTCAATACCTATAAAAATGCAAAATTTTAATGGATTATATTGCAATATATTTTAAGTTATACATTGGTATTATATTTAAATTATAATATTTTTAAAAAATGTTTCATAAAATAAATTCTGTTTTTTTAATTTTTGTGTGTAGTTTTTTTTTTGAAAATGTTTTTGGAAATAAACTTTTAATTAGCAAAGTAATTTAAATAAAGTTTATGTATTAATATTTAATTTAGTAATTTAGTTAAGGTGCTTTAATTTTAAATTTAATTTTCATGTGACTTTTTGAAATATATAATATAAATATAATAAAATATAACATTTACTGTAATTATAATTTACCATACTTACAAGTTTCTTTTTTTTTCATTTAGGAAGGAAAAATAGATATTCATCAGTCTTTATATAATAATAGATTTGTGAGTTGTAGCATCATTAAATTTTATAAATGAATCAATTTTTAAATTATTAACATTCATTAATTATATTATAGTGGTTTGATGCTAAGGTGATGGAGGAAAAGAGCTGCTTAGAAGCTCTAAAAGTAAGTGTTTATCGTGTATTGTTACCACTTAGATNGGTGATGGAGAAAAAGAGCTGCTTAGAAGCTCTAAAAGTAAGTGTTTATCGTGTATTGTTACCACTTAGATTGTGTTATCATTTTGCAATGTTTAATTAAAATATTTTGTCCTAATAATTTTTTTAATTTATTTTAGTCGTGTATAAAGTGTAAGGAATTAGAAATGGTGAGAACTTATTTTATGCAGTCATTATAATATTACTTTTAAAATAAAACTTATGATTTTATCATATAAAAATGGATAATTAGAATATAATTACTTGTAATATAAGTGATTATATTAATTTAATATGTTCTTGATTAGTGTAATAATATGTGTAATTTATAGAAAATATATTTTTTGAATACTCCTTTTGTGTTATTCTGTGCATTTGGTATAGTCCAGTGTATAAAACTTATAATTTTATTATAAGTAACAAACATTTTTTATTGAAAAGTATTGCTTCAAGCTCTTTAAATTTTTATATGCGTTAAAAGTAAAGAAATATACTACTACTTTATTATTTTTATAATATCTTCGTAAAAATTACAATATTAAATTATTGAATATCAATTTCATACTAAATTTAATTACTAAAATTGTTATTTATTCATACATAATAAATATAAATCAAATAACTAATCGGGATAAAATTAAGGAAATAAGAGTTATTGTTGTTTTTTGAAATAATCTACCAATTTCTTAAAATTAAACTATCTACAGATTTGCATCGAAGCGTTTCTTATGATAGTGGTTTTAATCACTGTCAGATATCAAATGTATTTGCTCCATTTATGCCACGCTTACATTGTGCTGCGATCCCCTAATGAGCTATCGTTTGTGTTTTTAATATTTTAGTAAACTTCAAAAGCTATAATTTGATATAGGTTAAATATTTTCATATCTAAAAATTGAGTTGAAAAAAAAAATTTAACGTGTGAAGGTGGTTTCTAGTAGTCTTTCTGTGCTTTGCTTTATTATTGAATCATTACATTATCTATAGCTTATAACAAGCGCCAAATATTTATTTATATCTACTAGATTTTTATTAGATGTATATTATAAGTTTTCGCTTTTACCTATCTAGAATAAAATTTCTAAATAATACCAAACTGAATAATTGTATTTTATTTCAGACTTTTGTAAATGAGAAACAAATTTTTGCAGAAATTTGTTTGCGTTATGTAAGTATTTTGATTATAAGTATACTCAGTGCGAAAGAGAGAGATCAACCCTTTCAAAAAATTGAAATTTACTTGTTATGGGTTAATTTTTTTTTTTTTTTTTGAAGGGGGAATGTGGTAATATTTTTTTATTTGTAACATTAAAAAAAAACCTGAAAAAGTCTTTAGCTCGCAGCTATCTTTAATAATAATCTTCTTCTTCTTTTTCCTCGCCTTGATCCCAACTACTTGGGGTTGGCCACTCTTATCCTAAACTTCCACTTGACACGATCTTCAACATCTTTTACGCTCACGTCAGCTGTCCTCATATCGCATTCAATAGGATCTCTCCATTTCTTTTTTGTTCTTCCTCTACCTCTTCATCCTTCAACATTCATTTCTACAACTGTTCTCATGTTTTCCGATTCTTCTCTCTTCATAACATGACCAAACCATCTAAGTCTATTCTCTCATCTTATCCACGATTGACGCTTGTAGTAATTTAAAATAATAAAGAGTAAAAGTGTAGTAGAAATTATATGTGGTAATAGACTATGTGGTGAATGGTTTNATCTCTCCATTTCTTTTTTGTTCTTCCTCTACCTCTTCATCCTTCAACATTCATTTCTACAACTGTTCTCATGTTTTCCGATTCTTCTCTCTTCATAACATGACCAAACCATCTAAGTCTATTCTCTCATCTTATCCACGATTGACGCTTGTAGTAATTTAAAATAATAAAGAGTAAAAGTGTAGTAGAAATTATATGTGGTAATAGACTATGTGGTGAATGGTTTTCGATATTCTATCGAGGCAGTGTGGCTCGAGGGTCTGTTATTGCTTGTAATGACATGCACATTAGATTGGAATAATCTTACCTGAGTTTTGTAATCTTTTAATAATACAGTTTTAACTTGACAAAAAACACACAAACTCGAATAATTGCTTATTTGTAGACGATGTCTTTAATAAGTTTATTTACATAAAACAATGATAAAAGATTAACAATGCAAAATTGACATGAGGAAAAATTATACAATAAAATGTTGTAATCGGTTTTAATAGGCACGAGTAACATAAAAATTATTTTTACAATTTTCACGTGTAGGCGAAAACAGAGCCAGACGATAATCGTGACGTGCTCGCATCGGAGTAAAGGCAAAACCAGAATGAAATTACAAGACCAGATATGTTCTTGCACAACTGACTCTAAATACTTAAAACTTTCCACCTCTCCAATCACATCTTCGCCCATTGTCACTGATATCCTTATTTCACCTACCTCGTGTTCTTCTTTATCAAATTCGTAGTCTACATACTCTGTCTTACTCATACTTATTCTTAAACCCTTTTCATTAAGAGCTGATTTCCACACCTCTAGCCTTTGAATAATTTCCTCCTATTAACACTATACCGTCAGCAAACAACTTGCTCCACGGCACCTCTCCTTGTATTTCTCTAGTAATTTCATTCATCACTATAGAAAATAAGTAAGCGCTTATAGCAGAATCCTGTTGCACTTATACTCTTACCGAAAACCCTCTGTTACTCCTCCCACACTTTTTAACCTAGTACAAGTGTTATCATACATATCCTTAATAATCCTTAGCTATCTTTAATGATAATAATACATAAAATAATTTAAAAATTTATTTTTAGTAAAGAATTGTCTTTGGTATTTTATTTTATTTTTATAGGATGATGACAGTAGTACAAATTATTCAAAAACTAAAATAAATCTTGAAATCGTATGTATATTATTATATATTTAAACACATAATTTTTTACATCTATAAATCATACATCATTAAAACACATATACTAGGTGATTTGTTTACCAATAATCGCTTAATTAATCAAAAAAATAAATATACTATTGACAATTTTACTTTTAATTTCTTTTAGTTCCATATTCTATTTTATTTGATTATCTTGAAATATTTTCGTGTTCATCCCTTATGTTTTAAATGTGTGTCAACTTTATTTATTCATAATTTATTTTTATTTATTAACATTGATATGCGGCCAAGAAACGATTAATGAAAAAAATAGTAGGATCCGGTCCTAATCTCCAGTTATTATATCGTTGAAAAATAAAATGTCAACTTTATAAAGTAAAAGAGATGAACATGAAAAATACTCAATGACTTGTAAATTTATTAAAAACATGACACTAAAAGAAATCACTAGTAAAATTTTCAATATTATACATTTATAATATGATACAATACTATGTATTTATTTTTGGTTAATTAAACCGTCAATAAGAAAAGTATCACCAGTAGAATATATTCATTTTTACAACATTATAATACATTGTTGTCTTGTTACTTAAACTAATTGGCGGTGATTTTTTGTTTTTTGTTAATTTGTTATTTATTTATTAAAAAATATATCATATGATTGGTATTTTTAAAATATGATGTGAAAAATGTTGTCTTTTACATGAACTAAGAAATAATTAAAATCATATATCCATATAATAAATTTTCGATAAAAAAATAAAGTCAAAAAATATCCATTAGTGAATTTTTACATCAAGCCGCCGATATATTATATTTTAATTGAAATCTTTTGCTACGCAGACATGACGTGATGTTCAGAGAAATAATGTTACGAAGAGTCTAATATGACAGGGATGTAGATAAATAAAAATTAGTAATTTTAGTTGTATAAAAAATTTGTTTGTGTCACAAAAAAAAAAACAGCTATACAGTAATTTAAATTTTGAGGTGTAAAAATCTGATGAAATTACCTAATGTGGCATTTCATAATTTTCATACAAATTAAATCATTCCAAGCAAAAATTGCTGTTAAGTACCAGTATTGGCAATTATCATTATCTAGCCTTATAGTAACACATTTTAACATATGCTATAATTAATTAACTATTTATATATACTCAATAAAAATATATCACCAAATTAGAGTTCCCCGTAGATAAGTTATTAAAATAAAAATTATAATAATACGTTTTCCTACACAAAAATCAACTAATTACTTACGCAATCCATAAGTCCGACATTTAAATGATTCTAGCACATTGCCCAATCAAATCCAATAAAAGTGTTTAAAAAAACTTACCAGAAATCACAAAACCACTTTTACAGACTACAAGATGGCGATTCTTTTACTAAAAACGCGAGTCCATTGTTACTATTTTCTCACATAAAATTTTTGGAAGTATATATAAATATTTTTTCCTTTTAGGACTTTATATTATTGTTATTTATATTATTCCATATAGTTCATTGTTTCTAGATGATTCTAGATATTTTTACACAAAATAAGTTTTATTTATTTTCATTTTTATTTAAATATTTCCATAAGAATATTATTTTATTAATCATTTTAAATATTAGAGTTTGCTCGTGGTTATAACTTTATATCAAATCTATGCCGTTAAACAAAATCGATTATAAGTAATAAACAATTAGAGTAAGGTAGGTAGTCAAAATGAACAGACTAAATAGTTTCATAAAAAAACACGATATTCGCAGATCATACAGATTCATGTGCATAATATTTTTATGTAGTAGCCAAGTAATAGCCTTACTTTTTTTCCCTATGTTCGCATATATCAGACGTCCTTATGTAAGCACATATATCCCTTTCACTTTAATCTTATTATTGTCAGTCACCCAACTTATTCCTTTGTCGAATAGACCGATAGTNTCACCCAACTTATTCCTTTGTCGAATAGACCGATAGTTACACCATTAACACACCTCTACCACCGTCTGCCATTTATAAAACTATACTCTACTTTACTTTTTGTTTATTACGGCCAAGTGTAGTATTGGCTGGCATCCTGTCTAAACACTGTCCTAGTATTAGTGGTCAGTACTTAACTTTCATTGCTGGCAGAGTACTGGCATAATATTGTTTATACAAAATCTCCAGTACTGATCCGCCAGTACAGAAAAATTACATCATCCCAAACATTTGTCAGTATTGGTCCAGTACATGTATTCTCTGCTGTGCCAGAAGTGCCAGTGCTGGCGCAATACTGTCTGTTGTTAATTTCTGATTTAGTTAGTTCAGTGTTTTTAATTAAATAGATCACTCTCAATATTTTCAAGCGAAAAATCTCTATTTAAAAGTATTGGTAATACGTTTAAGTGATATGACATAAATGATTCATAACAAAATATAGTTTGAAGCCAATACATAAATCGATTTTGTATGTTGCAATTGTTTGATTATTCGCTAAAATTATATAATTTTGAGAAAATGTTAGCAAATGGAGTTTTGGTATGATTTTGCATTTATGGAATCTTATCACTACCATTTTATATATTAGATTTCTTCAACGGTATTTTTTTGAACATCGATAACATTTGTTAGTCTAAGAATTATTATCATGATACATGGATATTAATATTATCTGCAAAAATATATTGTTGATATGCATAGTATATCATAGTGTGATTCAATTTTATTACTAATCAATCTCCCCTGTAATTGTCCAAGGTTGTAAATAAAAAATAATTGACTATCTAGGATTAATAGTCAATAAATTCAAGAACTCACGATTAAAATTCATGTTCAAAATAGATGACTCAGAATTAACTTTAAAACAGATATAATTTGTCTATAAAAAATTCGAATTCAACTTAAAATTATATTTTTGACAAGCCAATTTAAACCGATTTCAATAAAATCACAATATTTCAACACATGTAAAATTACTGTGGTTTTTCAACAGATCCCATAGAAGATCAACACAAAACAAATATTTAAAAATTAAAATTGTTTTTTTGTTTTCTAAAATTTCAGTTGATTGACCGTTGTATTTTCAAAAAAAAAAAAATTCAATTTTTCTTTGGCATCCTATGGCATATAAATTAAATTTGAATTTACAAACTGAAGTAGATAACTTCGTTATTTAAACCTTTTAAGTAGAATTTTTTTACAAATATAAATGAATGCAAGATTTTGCAAGAGTATTGTGACAAGACTCACAACAAGAACAAGATTTTATGGGCAAGACCAAGAACAAGAACAAGACTAAATAAGCAAGACAAAGAACAAGAACAAGACTAGATTTGCAAGACCAAAACCAAGACCAAGACTGAGTTAGCAAAGCAAGACCAAGA